TAAGATACTTGCGTACAAAGGACATAGGATAACCATTGGCCTGAAATAAAGCACGCAGATACTTAATCTCCTCCTTTTTCCCACTTTCGTCACTGCAGTGAGTCTGAACGCGTTGGAATAGGGTTCTACCACAACTGCGCTTGTAACAGACGGGATAGTTGCTCTTGAAGTGGAGGATTCGCATGGTATAGGTTGCCTTGCGGTTGACTGTTGTCCTTCCCGTCTTCCAGCTTCGTTACTTGAACGTAAAGGTAGGGTAATTGATTGTTGACCTCCTCTTCCATAGTGAACGAATTTTCACGCATATAAGGAAATGTAGTAAGCACTAAATCGCTGAATACACCCTCATATAATTATATTATTTAACCCCTTATTACGATCATTAAGCACGAAATTTCTGATATGGATTTTCCGTTTCTAAAATAAAAGCACACATTATACTAATTTTGGCTAAATATTCACGATAATTGCTTACGGAAATACTTAAGATGCTGCTCCTCTCAAAGTGGGACTCAGGCAGTCGCATGAAGTCACATATTAAGGAACCTACAATTGAATTTATTCCTATATAAACCGGAACAAAATGAATATCGGTCTGCTCAGGAAAGTGCTGAACTTATTTATTTCCCCGCCGAAAGAAATAACCTCTGATATTAATCAAGACTTCGTGTGTGTCGAAACCATTTAGGGACTATTTTATCTCGTATTTACTCGCAACAACTAGGATGATTTTATTCTTGAAGTAGTTCTCAATTGGTATGGAGTGATCGTGAATTTGGATAAGGTTTAGTGATCAGAGTCGCTTAACACTTTATTCCTGTTTGAGGTGACATCACTTCTATAAACAACTGTCAGAAATCCTAGTTGTCCTTTTGTTTATTGAGGGCAGTCACTCAACGTACCACGCGCCCCCCAGTGTTTTGCATAATACTTGCCAGTAGTATCAACGACAGCTTAACCAGTTTATTGGTAATGTTTTGTTTATTAGGATTTTCAGAATTTGCTGCAGTTATCCTCCGATCTACATGACATTTTCTGATAATATTAAGAACGGTTTCTAATAAAGTTTGTGAGTCCGTTTCCTTGGCTCAGATAATTGTCCCAATCCGATGTGCGTACGACCCCTGCATTCATCCTCGAACATCTCTTGGCAAACTGAACATTTTCGTAGTTAAGTGAGAGTTTTTTACAAACATAAGTTACCTGGATGGATTATATTTGGCCAGACTGTGCGTACAAGACTTTGCAACTTAAAAGTAATACGTTAATATGGCCCATTACTTCCATAGGCGAACCAGTTAATATATGTGACACTGCAGCATTTGATTTTCCCTATTTTTCTCTGACCATCAGAGGCCGCAAAACTTACTAAACATCTTACGTACTTGGCGCTTAGTAATTTTGCATGCATTATTTTCTATATTCCGTAGTTCTATGAAGAAAGCGTTCCCTATGCTGATGGACACCTTAACTATTCCTGAGAAAACTAGGCCCAAAACGTGCTATCGGAATTTTGATGGGTTCTTTTAAATAAACGTCGCCAGATAGGCTGGCTAGCTCAAGCCAGGATTTTCGAACGGGAGGCCGACTTGCAGATGCCTGAAACCACAGTAGAAGAGAATAAAGAAGAAAACTCCTACAGCCGTATCCTTGCTAGCGGAAAATACTTTTCATTATTTTGCAAAAGATGCTTGATGGTACAATCACTCTTTAGTAAATTACTGCAATAAAGTTTCTATTTCTTAATTTAATTATCTATTCATAATAATGAAGGCCGACCACCAACATAATCCCAAAATGAAATTGTACAGATACTGGGTGTGTAAAGTAAGTATTTGCCAGAGGCACAAGTTAAAATGTAGATTGGACGGAGTCTCCGTATTTTATCTGCGAACAGAAGATTCAATATGTCACCTTCCCGGCCAGTTTATATTAAGTGCTTATGCGCGGAGTTTTCTGGCAGTGTCTTGGCACATGCTTACATAACGACTTACCAATTCAATCAGAAGTAATGAGAAACCATTTTTTTCAGTCTTACATAGGAATAATAATCATCAGCAACAATAACTACAGTAGCGTCAAAGACAAAAACAATATAATTAGCTTCCTTCTCGTCAGGATCAGCATGACAACCGCCACCGCCACCACCATCATCATCATCATCGTCATCATCATCATCACCAGTATCAATTTCAGGATCATCATCCAACTAATGTAATTCCCAGATCGAAAGTGAGCATACCTATGCATCTAACCCAACTTTTTGTCCCGTAGGATTACTTAAAAGCTTAAATGGGTGAAGCAGTGAAATTGCGCACAAATTAACTTGTGTATTGCAACGTTACATTCAGAAAGGTTTCACAATTCTACCGCGTATGTGAACGGCGTAAACATATATGCCTGCTAATGCTGCTATGAATGACAAGTCCCATCGTTCAGTATCAGTGTCAGATTATAGAGGGATATATATGTAAATTACCTTTGTGTCGTGGAAGCAGAATCCTCAGTTCACTTTAACAACATAAACATTACCCACAATTTTCATCTCACTTATCAATAAAATGTAAAGTACGCGCCAGAATTCTTGCAACATGCCGACGTATGCAAAACATTGATAAACCTTCGCTCATCGGCATTACTTCAGGTTGTAGTCTATGCTGACGCTATATTGGTCATGATAGGACGTCGGCTTTTTAGCGAGCTTACTTCTGACCACTAACAAAACCTATTTACTATAAAAAAGTAACTATTAAATTCTATGCGTTTTTCTTTTTGATTTTGAATGCCTTCGTAGATTCAAATAAATTTTAAAGAAAAAGGTGAACGCAAAAATGATCTCTTGTAAAATTTTTGTTGCAGATTACGCCTTCTTTAAATGTTACTCCTAAAGAAAGGGTGTCTTTCGGTTTTAACGAAGTTTCCAAACTGCGGATAAAGTTACAAACCTGCGGACTGCTACATTAGAATTAGTGATTTGCAAATAGCAAACTTTATACAAACTGTTTAAAGAAAAGTACGTTTTCTCCAAATCTTTGAACAAGAAGTCCCTTTGTTCTCATAAAATAATGCAATAGGTTTGGAACCTGGTCTATACAGTATAAGCAGCATTTATAAATTGATGTGTACGATGCATGTGAATGAGCACCTCACAATCGTAAAAACGCTCATAACTAGGTATGTTCTGAAACCAGAGGATACCATTTTTTAAGTGAAGAATTTAAAGGAGGTGAAATTGGCTACCAAATATGTCTAAAAAATAATTTTCGTTTACCTTTTACATGAGATATATTTGAATTTATGAAGGCAGTCAAACTCACAGACAAGTAAGCATACTATTCACGTAGTTACATTTTTCCATTAAATACGTTTCGTAAGCGGTCAGAAATAAACTCGGTTAAGTGACTGAAATAACTTTAGCATATAGCATACTATAATCTGTATGGGAGACATAACAGGCAGTCAAGTAATAATTTCAGTTGCCACATTTGTTTTTCTTTTGATTATTAATGACGATCGGGCGCATTTTTCATACAGTCGCAACTCTAAAAGTAGCTCCCATTTCTAAATAGATCTTCAGAGTAAGCTAAGTAGTAGAAGATCTCTTGTAGTAAGTGCTTCTCCTTCTATTGTTTCTGAGCATAAGAAGAAACAACCTGCCGTTCTGCCTCAACCAGTAAATGACAGGTTTCGATATTTTTTTTACTCATTTTGTTACCTTTCACGAGAACGTAGTAGCGATGCGCAAGTACGGTATTGCTTTAGTAGCCCACAAAGCAAAACATGGAGAAGCACGAGAGTTTTAGTTTAAAAACGTATTTCGCTTTTAAATTTATTCAGAAAATCATACGCATAAACTCATAATGCCAAATTTGCACAGCAAATCTGAAGAATGTCCACCAAAGAAACCCAAACCGATTGTGGACATGCTTCCATATTGTTACTGCTGCGTGGAAAGGCATGCGGGTAATTGAAGAGGTCGGAAGGCAACGCGTTTAAAAGCGTCATACTCTCTTAAGCATGCCTTCCTCCACTGACTTGGTTCCGACTCGACCATCTCCTTAAGCTTATTTGCGTGATGTTGAGAGGGTACTGCTAGGGCAATATCATCCAGTCAAATCATTCTCCCCTGTCCACCCGTACTCAACCGTGTGTAGGTAACTTTTGCCAGTAGGTTTTGCTCCATAATCCCGAAAGGTTCCGCTTCATGCTGATGTCGAATTCCACGCCACGGATCCACATCCTGGTTAAATGGAAACATTGGTTTATTATGGAAACAATGACCAACTTACATTTTTGGATCATCTCTTTATTTCTGGAGGGCTGACCTATGGTCCTCATTTGTGATTTGTTATACAGCGATACTACTTAATATAATCGCTGTCTTTGGGGCAAATGATGTATGCTCGGAACTCTTTAGGCACAGAAAAGCAATAATATCTGGATGACGGTCTGAAAGTTAAAACTTTGTCGGATATTGCTTCTCATACACATTTCTTAAAATGCGTACTGGTTACCGTTTCTTATATCGGGATTGTTTGAAACAAGACAGCTTTTTACAGCAGTCAGCGAAGTCAGCATTGAAGGCTATCAACTGTTCCGCTGCGACAGATCTTA